TACTTTTTACGTTCTTTTGTTCAAATTCTGCTGCAGATGCAAGACGCTGTTCAAGAATTAGAGGGGATCGACTTGGCCGATCCAGACCTGCACAAGGCAGCGACTAAGATTCAAGCAAGTTTCCGCGGTCACAAGGTCCGTCAGGAGGTCAACATCCATTCTACTGCCGACGACTCTAAAAAATAAGACGCTTACTCAAATGCAGGGATGCCGGGAGATAGAATATTACTTATTACAGTCAGTGCCATTCTTAACAGGTTTCAAACGCCATCCCCCTATTTCTTGTACCTTATAATGTAGCATCCATAAATTAGTAAATTATGCGCGTAAAATATATACGAGGCATTCCAGACAAGCCGAGACAACGGGCAGCCGAACGAATTTGACTATTAGTTTACCTCGGGCCACTAGTTATTGTGAACAACGATACCGTTTATTTTACGTTAACAATTAATCCAGCCTTTGCCCGGGACCAGTGAGATTTAAGCGCTTTCTACTTTGGCTAAAATGAGGATCTTTCAAACGAGATATTTACAGGCTGAGGCATACAAATGTGGGAACATTTAAATATTTCTATTATTTGTGGATATATAAAAAGTTTTCTGGAACAAAGTTGCATTATGTAAAGAAAAACTATAATGATAAATAAAACAAGATTGTTCCTTGAGCCGACTCCTATAAATCGATTTTAAGTACATTTCACACAATTCGCTACATGACCACATTATTAAACTATCCTCATACTATCGATTTACACTTACATTTTTTATGAGTTATTACTGCCATACATGAACGGAGGGGTATACATATAGGCAGATTTTTCAAGACTTTTCAAAGGACTTTTCAACATGGTAACAGTACTTTCTATGTAAAACACTAAAAAAAAAAGATGATATAGGGGAAAAAGAGAGAACAGATAGTCCTCTATATAATTATCCGACATAATACTCAACATAAATTGTGATCTACAACAACAGAATAACAAACATGCAAAATCCTCATATCTGGTAGGTATGTTAAGTGGAACGCGACGAACGCGATAGAATATAACTTTAACGTCCTGCGCATGATAAACGGAGCATACATTAAGATGTACCAATATCAATATATGCATGTTAACTTTTATAAGTTCCTGTATCTGTGTAAAATAAACGGTATGGTTGTAGCGTTTCCAATTCTAAAACTAACGATGAAAGTCTGTTTTTCGAATATTTTTTTATCATGATACACAAATATTTAAAGCACGATTTTATTTTGTATTCCTAATTTATTGTTGAAATGGAATGTGATAACTAAAAGTAATATTTCTTGACTGCACTTTTTACATTTTCCTACAATTTCTTTTTTTATTTTTCTCTTTCACTTTCTTTCCCTTCTTATAAAAAGTTTATATATATATACATATATATATATATAATACGTGTGTATATGTGTATGTGTATATATGCATATATACGTATATATCTGTTTCATTTTAAATGTGGAAAGTGTAAAAATGTGTAGGATTGCTTCTCCTTTGAGAGTTTGGAAAAAAGTATTGATCTAAATACAAAATAAACAGATGATTAGTCCCATCATACTATTCAACTTATTATACTTAGAGGGACTATAAATTTAGAAACATCTTTCCTATACTATTATAATTATACATATATAAAAAGAATTAAGAAAAAGAACATTCCAAACTTTCAAATAATTTTACAAACTTTTGGACACAAAAGATATTGTATTTTATTATTGTAGTATTTTATGTTATTAATGCAGTAGAACTTCTATTTGATGCAGAAACTTGCATATTAGTGCTTCAAAATAAAACTTGTGATAATATTAAAAATATTATTGATATTAATCTGTAATATTTCTTATTAAAATTTTGTCGATATTATTTATTTCATGTAAATGATCTATTCAGATGCTTTGCATATGTTATTGTGCAAAAGGCATTTAAAATAATGTAGTTAAAAAGATGAATGTACTACTCATCGGCCTATTGTCAATAATAAAGCAATTATGAAGTAATCATTAATCGAGGTTCTACTGCATCGATTAAAAGCGTGCGCAATATATATATATAT